CAAGTCATCGTGGCCGAGGGGTTGAGCGTGCTGACCTTGTTCAGGCTGTCGATCACGGCAAATAATGCTCTCCTTCCCAGAAACTGTAACTAAGGTCCACTCAGCATAGTTGCAGTACAAACCACAGGTGGGCTCTCTGGTGTTGAACAAATACTAATGTGCCTGAGAATGCGGCTGCAATATTCGAGAAATCTTATTACAGCGCATATTTTTCTCTTAATGTTCTATAAGATTTCTCAAGTATTCAAGCTGGTAGACGAAAATAAATATACTGTGTAATAAATAAATGGAGCGTCTAATTAAATACAGTATCCACTAAAATAACGTTTAAGTAATAAAATAATATATATATATATATATATATATATATATATATATATATATATACATTGCATGGAGTATTACTGACATATATGGTCTGCAGCCCCTTTTTGTTTGTCTCAAGGTTCTTGATAAAATCCAGAGACGGATATGCAATGTAATTGGCCCTGATCTGGCATCTCATCTGCAGCCACTCTCTCACAGACGTGCCGTCGCCTCCCTCTGTCTTTTTTACAAAAACTTTCATAGTAACTGCTCCGATGAGCTGCTTTCGCTGGTTTCCAGACTTCATGAATTTAAGCTTTCTACTAGGCTGGCATCTCGCTCACACCCCTTTCACTATCGAAACTGTTAAATGTGGCCGTCTCTTCTACTCCAATAGCTTCATGTCTTGCACTTCTTGCCTGTGGAACACACTCCCCTTTTCCTGTTTCCCTGATAGCTATAATCTCCAACTATTCAAATGTAATGTCAATTGACGTCTCCAGATGCCTTGATCTATCCCCTATCCTTCTCTTCATCCTTTCCTGTATCACTCCTATTTGCTCTAGCTCCAACTCTCTGTAACCCCTTTCATGCTTCCCACCTTGCTTGGGGTAAAAAATAATATATATATATATATATATATATATATATATATATATATATATATATATATATCGATGAAGGGATTGTGCAGTGATTATCTCTGTTCTCAGCATTTTTCCTGTAGTTGTCAAAGGGAGAAGATCATGTGAATCATGGAACACTCCTACCTGAACCAGAGTGGTGTTTGGGATATACCCTTTCAGCAAGCTTGTGTAGTCTACCGAGGACCACGCAGGCAAAGACCCTCCCGACAATGTTCAGCAAGGAGATTCCTCTTTAATTGTTGCAAACGCTTCGGTCCCTCTTATTCTTATAGGGATGAGTATGTTGCAATCTCTCATATCCTGCAACACCATTCCCTCCTCCCAACACAACCACACACAGAGCTGAGTTCTTAGAATGGAACAGCGAGTCTAACTGCACATATGCTTTGATTATCCTTTTCCTAGACTGGTTGCCACCCAAGGCTATAGGACAGTCTATTTGGCTATTTACTCATAGCTAGGATAAGGAAAAGAGTTGGATTCATACCTTTCTCACCAGAATTAGTACCTAAGTAATATAATGAACTCGATTGGGATTTGAATTTGGCTTTAAGTCTGAGCTGCTATCCATTACTCCACTTTGCATGTGAAAATGGCTATAAAAGTGACCAAAAGTGCTTGGAACAATAAAAATTAGGAAAAGTTTTGTAGTCCATTACTTGTACAAAACGGAAAACAAAGAATCTGGAAAAACTTAAAAATTAATTAAATCTTCCTTGTCGGACATCTTTAATGAACAATGTTTGAAAGAGAGGTTGCAGCCCAAATATACATTAACTATATATAGAATTAATACAAACACAAAGTTTTCCACTGAGCTGATTGGTGTTACTTTCAGCACCCCCAACAAACACTCTACCAACGATTCCGTCAACTCAGCAGAGGTGTATGTGTTCTTTGTCTATTCATATATATCGAGCGTAGCATAAATGTGGTACAAGGCCGAAAGTAGGGGGAACCCAGTGAGGATCGAACTCACTACTCAGTTGTAATTGTTCTAGCGAGACAAGGTTGCTAATCATTACACCACCTTGCTGAAGTGCAATATATATATATATATATATATATATATATATATATATATATATATATATATATATATATATATATATATATATATATATATATATATATATATATATATATATATATATATATATGTGTGTGTGTGTGAATAAAGACAAATGGAAAGATTTTCTTTATCGACACGTTTTGTTAAGTGTTTTTTTAATCTAATGCCTAATAAACAACAGTAGCTAAATGTGTTTGAATTCTTTAAGTTTTATTTTTTATTTATTAATGTTATTTACTAGTGTACCCGTGCCGCCAAAAATGACAGCAATTAGTAAAGCTTTGATAATATCATGCAATGAAACAAAAGTCTTGCAATAACATATTGAGGGTCAGTGAAGCGTAGATAAAGAATTCACAACTAAAATAGAGGCCAATGAACTGCTTAAATAATCCGTACCCTTTATATTTGGTAAATTTGAAGATTCTTTTTTAAATTTGTTTAAATTATTTTGAAATGTAATTGCAAGTGTGGTTTCTTTTTTAAGTGAAGTTTTCATAAATAATGAATGGTCTTTTCTAAATAAATATAATGTCATGGGTGAAAAGCAACATCAAAAATATTATTCTTATTCTGTTGGGTTACTTTTTAAATTTCACGCATTCATTTTAAATTAAAATTCACGCATTGTGTGTGCAATAATCAAGACAAGTAAAGCTGCCGTGCATGACTACTTGAGGTGAATGTATGTTAACAAAGCCACTAATGGCTGCTATAACCGCGACGCGAATAAGGCCGAACTTATATTGTCAATAACTTCTAAACGGTATATTTCCATAAACTTTTATTATTTTCGAAATAAGCATGCAAATTTACACCAAACTGAAATTCTGGTTAATTTGCAGTGTAACACCTGCGCTCAGTTTGCATTAAAATTTCCAAAATACTTACATTTATGTGTAATTGTAAATGCTTCATTTGAATCTGGCTTGATAAATTTGATAAAATATACCGTTTTGGAGTTATCGACAGTGAAATTTTTAATGCGAACTGAACACAGGTGTTACACTGCAAATTAACCCTTTATATTTTCTAGATGTTCAGTGTCATCTAATTCATTGATTACTTTTGGTTTTATATAAATCACCTTCCATTGAATAACTTTTCATGTTAAAAATGTCGTGTGTTTAAATGTAACAGCGAAATGGAAATATCATCCAGAAAAAAAAAAAAAGATTAGCAACAGAATGACAAAGATGGCGACGACAAAGTCTATTTCAATATTGAAGTGCAAGCAAGGCGAACATTTAATAGACAAAAGTATTTGAGTGCCTCACATGAAATATAAGACTGAAATCAAAAAAATGTAGGAGTAAATAAACTGATTAATTAATTTGCTTAGGAACTAAATTTGTTTATGTAGTGACCTACCGCAGAGGGCAAAGAGACCCAGGGTTGCATGTATTTTTTTGCAACTCGAGAATAAAGTAACTTACGTCCAGCACAAGATTCAAACTTGCCTCGCAGTGTAAACTGTCCAACGGAGAAAGAAATGGTAATTTCACGGGTCGCATATTTAAAATAGTTAAATCTCTCTCGCGAGATTATCTTTGCGCATATGCAAATTGACTACAAGTGTTGCGGACGAGGAAATAAATTGATTGCTAAGTTTAAAGCCTTTTTTTTTAAATGCTGTTTAATTGCAGATTAATGTTTTAATTTTATAGATTATTAAAACTAAGGGAAGTAATTACACATAAATTTAATTAAGTTTGTTTACTTCCCTTTCCACCACATATTGAATCGGAAATATATAAATAGACACTGTTAATTATTATATGGTTTAATTATTCTATTTTAATTTAATAAATTATTCATGTATTTTTTTAAAATAATAAAATGTTTTGATTTAAATAATAGGTTCTCCATCAGGTGGCATGGAGAGATGAGATGTGCTGCATGGGCAACCACAGATCGCTCATAAAAAAAACTCTGCCCACATCTTCACTTTCGGGTGCTGATCCATGGTCTCAAGACTGACAGATACCAATAATACACACACACAAAAATTTTTAATTTAAAGCTTTTCTATATTACAAATACTCATCATTGTTTTTCCAATGTCAAAGATTATTTTAATTTTTCAAATATTATTTTAATTATGCAATTAAAATATTATTCAATTAAAATATTTAAATCATTCAATTAAAATATTATTGTAATTATTCAGTTAAAAAAATATTTTAATTATCCCATTAAAATGTTATTTAAATTATTCAATTAAAAAAATTATTCAATTAAGTATTTTAATTATTCCATTAAAATATTATATTAATTATTCAATGATGAATATCATAAAAAAGAAAATGCAAATGTTTTGGATATAAATACAAAATTACTTAGATATGACCATTAATTTTTTTACCACATCAGTAAACTAGTAATAAAATAAAACAGCTGAAGATGAGTTTTCATATTGAAAATTTTTTTATTTAAAATTTTAATGTTTCTGTTTTTTAAGAAAATGTTTCATAATAAACCAGCAATATTATCTACAAGAAAGGAATGAATGTGTGAACATTTCATGCCAAGAATGACTAAAAAAAATAATAATCTATAATACATTGTATAAATAATTAAAAAGAAACATTTTTTAAAAAATATACACAACTAAAAAATTTGCTAAAAATGAATTCAAACCTAAATTTATATGAACTGAAAAAAAGAAAAAAGAAAAATTAAGACTGATTTTTCCATAGTTTTACCCTCACCCTACCCGTGTCAGTTTAATCTGACTTCTTTTTTCCACATATTTCTAAAATGTAATAATAAATCTTAATTTTGGAAAGCATAAATTTCACTGGAATATGTTGCAAAATTTCCAAGCTTTTGTCTGAATTCAAGAAAATACAAACTTTAACCCAGATACTCCCGTCATCAGTTTAAACTGACACCTCCCCCGCTCCTAAAGCTTGGTTGTAATCAATCTTGGCAATCATAATGTTCACACATTTATTTCTTGCATTAAATATTGGCTAAGATTCTTCCTTTGTGTCCGTAGCTGCACCTTTAGCGCTTGTCATCTTTTCGCCTTCCATATCAAGATTGTGACTGTAGACGCAACTGTCACCGTGTTTACATTGTCCTGCTTTGAACTGCTTGCAAGGATACATTTTCAAATCGCGATCATTCTGAAACATAGAAGAAAAAAGATGTAAGAAGAATCTAACAGCACAGAGATATCTACATGGGTCACAAATCACTAAGAATTATTCTAGTTTTCTTTTATGAAAAAGTCTGTGTTCACATGTGTACATGATATACAAATATAAAATGATTATACAACTATATTTTATTAAGTTAACATTGTTTATTAGTATGCTTTTTAGTTTAGGTTAGTTAATAAAACAAGGACAAAAGAAAGGGTACCAATATAATCAGCATGATAAACATTTATTAATATAGATTAATTATTAATCATATGAGAGAAATGAAGCACAGAGAGAAAATTTTTAAGTTCGGAATTTTCAGACACACCTATATCCTTTATCAATGGATAGAGGACTAAACAGAGAAATAGAAACTACTCACCAACATATGCTTTTGTAGATGGGGTATTTTAGAGACACACACACACCTATGTAATTAATTCATAAATATATACATGTGTGTGTGTGTGCACCAATTATTATATAACTTTACCATCTAACATTCCATGTCAAGCACTTCAATAAGCAAATCTGATTTGTCTCCTTTGATTACAATTTTCTCTTGAGAACAATTCTGCTTTTTAGAAATCATTAAAAATAAAAGGAAAAGAAAAATGAGAAAGCTGGCGTAAGATATATTTTTAGGCTCACTGACAACTATGTGTATCAAGACAAATTCAAATCGCTCATCTTTAATTGGACCAAGAAGTTGCAAACATGTAGAAATAATTGTTCATTGTAGTCAAAGTCCCAGTTTCATAGATTAACAAGAGAGACAAGAATGTTTATTAATGACAAGAGACTTCGCTCTACAGAAGGATACTGAGCATACCATGAGCTGGAATGTGTGTAACAAGGAATTATTTTAAGAAAAACGCCAACAAAAAGAGCTCTTCTACTCTGAATCAGACAGATCAAGGGAAAGAGGGCTTGGAGAATATGACACTCACAAGATATATTGAAGACAAAAACTGAGGAAAACTGATGAGTTTGTGCAAATTTCAGACACACCTATGTCCTTCATCAATGGACAGAGGAATAAACAGAGTAATGGGAATTACTCACCGACAGATGCTTTTGTAGATGGGGTATTTTACACACATACACCTATGTATGTAATTCATAAATATATACATGTGTGCGTGAGTGCACCAATTATTATATAACTTTACAATCTAATGTTCCATGTCAAGCACTTCAATAAGCAGAACAAAGAATGTGAGGCGTAGTCAAAAGACAAACATTACTATGAACTAAAAAGGAGAAGAAGCTGTTGAAGGCTATGATTGCTCATGTCGTGAAGGAACATGGCACATAAAAGTAGAATTGCTTGAAAAACAACATCTGTTAGACAAAGTAAATGCAGGCTGATATTAAAAGTGTCTGCCTTCCCATACTAACTATTGCTATCAACATAAGACCAACATGCAAATTAGAGATATCAAATTCAAGCAAGTACAAAACTTTAAATATCTGGGAAGTGTTTTAACAGATGACAGAAAATGTGACATTGAAATCCGAAGGTATAGTGGGACTGTGAAAGATTCCTATCAAAAGCTAAGCAAAGTATTAAAAAACAGGAAAATTTCGTTAGAAACAAAAAGCACTGAACTGTTATGTAATATCATTCCTCCTATATGGCAGTGAATGTTGAACAATCTCACCACAGATGAAGAAGAGACTTGTCACAACAGAGATGTGGTTCAAGAGAAGGATGCTGAGAATATCATGAAGTGAACATGCGCGCAGCTTCGAAGTTTTGGAGAAAAAGGAAACAAAAAAGGGCGCTTAAAGTTAACATCAGAAATAGAAAGTTGAAAATTCTAGGGCACATAATGAGGAAAGAGGGTTTAGAAAATTTGACATTCATAGGACTTATTGAAGGTGAGAGGAAAGCACCACGTAAGACAACATGGCGAGTGTGTAAATGTTTGACAGAACAGAGATTATGAGAGAAAATGAAGAGACAAAATTTTCTAACAGCTAACAGGACAGGAAATTGTGGTGAGCCATGATCGCCCATATTCTGAAGGGACACGACACATAAAGAGAAAAATAAGAAACGGTAGATAACTCTTTCTGTAACCGAACAGAGTTATCTGCCTTGAATATTTCACCAGGAGTGTTTGTTTGAACTGTGAGGTCATTACTGTACACGATATTTATTACATTTTTTTTTTCTTAACTAATATTCACCCAATACAAACACCAAGAGCCACCCAAGTTCGAGGGCTACTGTATGGAGTTATAATAGCGTAAGAAAGGACAAACATTAACAGTATGAAGCTGAAGTAGATTTTAGAAGGAACCAAAAACCAACTCCTAAACAGGAAACAAGAGATAAACCTCCTCTACTCCTGTTTAAAAGAACAGGGAGAAGTGTGAACCGGACGATAGACGACCCTACCACAAATAAAAGTTTGTGCTGAAAATAAACGTCGTCAATCAATCTGCCAAAGAGACTTTTTTTTGCAATGTAAAGCATGAATAATTTATAATTTTAATGTCTATTGCTGTTTTTTCAATGAAAACTTTAAAATATCTAACCATATTTAACAACATAAGATATCCCCCCCCCAAATCGCCCTACATCTTATACGTGAAACTGTGGATGAATTTTATTGTCAACACTCACTAATGTAGGACATAATTTTACCTAAACAGTCATTTCTACCTAACTCTATATGGTTTACACATTATTATTATTATCTCATTATAATTGTGCTTGTCATTCTCTTCGTTAGTTCACACGACCGTTACTCCCCGCCAATACCTCATAAATAGACTCTACTTGGTTTCAGTGAGAAAATGAATGAAAGAAAGAATAGGAAGAAAGTGTTTAATGGCTGTTTTAGTGAAATGGATAAATTGTCAATTTCAAATATTTTCACTTGTAACACCCTTACTTCTTAAAATAATAACAATATATATATATATATATATATATATATATATATATATATAAAATACCAACCATTACTACCACATCACAATTACTATGGCCACATTAGTCCACAATTACTACCACACCACAATTAACATTACTTTATCAGTCCACAATTATACTTACTTCCCCCACCCAGAAAAATTAATAGCACCACATAAATACTAATAAACATTATAAATTGTAGTTTCTACCATTTACATATGTGCAATCACCAAAAACAAGCAAATAACTGGCTTTAAAATAACAAAACAGTATTTTAAAAAAAAAATAGCAATTTTACCTACCATAGTATTACACAAAACCCATCATAAAAAAAAATAAAAAAAAAAAAAAAAAAAAAAAAAACAGAACAGACAGATAGTAGTTTTGATAATGTTTTGACCCCAGTTCGAGGGTTAACTATTTGTCCATAGCTGAGGCCCTAACAGATGCTACCACCATGGGTAGGGTGGACCAGAGAACAAGAGCAATTATGAGGTGGTTCCATGCTCCTCAAAACCTCCCAATCAGAGGCATTGCTGCCGGATGTAGTTTATCATCATACCCACAATGGGTATGTGGTGTATTTGTTTATTGGGGCTGCCTATTACCGGTAAATATGACACCAATGACCCTGGTTTAGTTTACAGAATTTCAACTTCATGAATATTTTCAACTGTGGCAGTGGCTTGCATTTTATGAAATGTTTTCTGCATTGTCTACTGCAAAATCTTTTTGTAGGAATACAAAAGATGATTATCTCCCTTTGCAACAATGTCTCAGTCTTTTTTTTTTTATTGATTTTTATAACAAATAAATTTTGCAACCAGTGCTATGGAAAGCTGAGCCTACCCACTGAAAATTTTTGCACAACCCTTCCCCAATTTGTGAATGTGATGCAACCTAATTTTGATGTGAGAAAATGTGTTTTGATCAGTGGGTCCCTCTGGAGTTAATGTCTTGTTAGCACACTCATGATGAGCCTGCTGCTGGCTCTCTGTATCGCTCACTCAGCATGTAGGGGACATTTTTGGCTTATAGGAACAAAATGCTGTGGTCCCAATCAACTTAAGAGAAATCCCATTGAATTTTTTTTCACTTTGTTTTAAAATTGCGTTGCATCTAAATGATCAAAAAATGATTCAAATTCAGCAAAAAATAAAGAAGTCAAACAAATAGAAACTGAAAAAAAAAAAAAAAAACTCTCTTGCTTACTTTTTCTCGCTTACGTTTCTTATTCTTTTCTTTCTTTGCATCTGTACAAGTTTTGTCAGCCTCCTTTACTCGAGCACGAGGCCGTGGACCCCAGAAGGGCTCTGGGTTGATTTGCCAACGGAGCAGACCTTGCTTACGAGAAGGAGGGTTAGCATTTGGATGAAGCTCAAATGAGATTTTATATTTGGGCTCTCTGTCTAGAATGGCTTTGACAACACTACCTTCCTGCAAACGAGACTCTTTCACTGGGTGATCCTTAATCCACACACGCATAATATCCTGAAAGAAAGTCAAAGAAAATATTAAGAAAACCTTGATAATAAAAGACAGCCAGTACACAGATGAAACGAATATGTACAGTTAGCTGGTGGAGATTTTTTTTAATTTTATACTGTTGTATAATACAAGGCCCAAGAGACACTCAAGGTAGAGGGCTACTAAATGAGGTTGTTTTATAAGCAGTTAACCAGTAGAGTTGTTCATCATGTACTACCACCAGAAATTTTTTTTTTTAAATTTTAAACCAATTTCTATACAAGATCATAGTTTACACAGAAATATAAGTACACATTAGAGAACAATGAAGAAGAAGAGGGATAAAAAAAACAAAAAACAAAAAAAAAAAACAGCTCATTTATCTGTGGTAAAAAAAGAAAAAAAAAGACTTACCCAAATAAATTCAGCTGGGGCATCAGTTTTATGAGAGTTTTTGGCACAGTGAGATAGGGAAACCCTATAGCCTCCATTCAGAATTGCTGATCTGAAAAAAAGTTTATTTTATACTATGAGATTTTATATATATATATATATACATACATACATACATACACACACACACACACACACAGACTACAGTTGAAAAGTTTGAAGCCACCCCCAGAATTATCATCAGATGAACCTGGCAGAAGAGTGAAAAAAAATGGAAAAGAGCTCTTAGAATCATTGAAAAAAAAAAAAAAAAAAAAAAAAAAAAAAAATGAAAACAACCATCAACCTTGAGAAACTTTTGCAATGAATGCCAAAAATTTGTGCTGCAGTAAACAAGGCTAAAGAAGGATATTTTGATGAAAGCAAAATTTAATCATAAAATGTTTTTTCTTTTTGCCATAATAAAATTTCTAATAAAAAAATCATGTCTCATTTTTTTTTTTAACAATGTATAATAATTTTCTCTTATTTAAATTACAAAACAACTACTTTTGGGCCAATTTAAAAAATTACCAGGGATGGTCTCGAACTTTTGAACTGTAGTATATATATATCTCCAGGTACGATGGGAAAGAATAGCGTACAATTCCAATGTTCATAACATTTAATTTAAAAGAGGGATTACTACAGAGTAGAGCAATATTATTTGCTTTGTATAATTTACATAAGCGTATGTATCCACTTTATTTTATGTCTGGTTGCTGTTAGCTGCCAATCTACAGGTCATCAGCCATTTATAAAAAATAATTTTTAATTTTTGCTTCTTTGCTTAGTCTAAATTTAATGCAGGTCATATTTGATTGGTTGATTAGAGTAAAGCCCACAAACCTTATCAGCTCCTTTTTAGATTTTTGTAAAAAGATGTTGTATTTTGCTTTTAAATCTAAATAAATTGTTCACTTATCAGTAATTTACAATCGCCTGATGAGATGTATTGATATGCATTGAAACATGACTGCAGTTGTGTAGCGATTTTTTTACATGTTTTCGGTGTAATATTCTAGAATATATATAAGCCTGAAAGGCATCTGTTGGGCGGCATTGGAGCTAGCTCTTGTGGAGATCTCTTGATTGGGCCTTCATCACAATATGTAGGGAAGAGTAAATGCAATAGGCATCAATAAACTACAGAACTCAAAATTTATCACTGCACTTAGGTATTGCATTAATATTTAAGCTTACCATTTAAAAATTCAATGATAATTCTTCTGCTGTCATTTAATTTAAACACAATTTGATGTACGTAGGTCCTTACTTTCTGTACAAACAATTATTTTTATTTCATGGGTGAAATAATTTGTTGCAAAAAATCATGTAAAAAAAAAAATCTCGTCAAAAAACAATCGCAGTAATGAAAACTTGGGGATCAAAATTTCAGGACTGCAGGTCCAGAATATTTTTAATTTGCTCAAGGAGTCCAGATTCCAAAATGGTATGATATGTTGGGCTATGGCCTCTAGGAGTAAAGTTGGAAACACCAACAATTTTATTTTGAAACACTGTCATTTGAGAACAGTAATTTTTTCATTTCAACATGAACTATTGAAAGATAGTTATGTTCTTTTAATAGTTTTTATCAGTACAAACTAAGATGGCAAAACCTGAAAACAATCATAGTAATGAAAACTTGGGAATCCAAACTTTCAGGATTATGGGTCCAAATCCAGCCTTGAATGTTTTTAATTTGATCACGGAGTCAGCATGATTCCAGAATAGTATTATATGTTGACCTATGGCCTCTAGGAGTAAAGCTGAAAAAGTGTGACACATTGATATTCGCATTTATTTTATATATCACTTTAAACATTATTTTTAGTGGATACCTATATTTGAATAGGCATTCCATTTATTTATTAAATAGTATATATTTATTTTCATCTACTGCTCTGAATGTTCAAGAAATCTTATTAAAGAAAAATGTGTGCTCAAATATATGCTACTCAAATATAAGTATCAAATATAAATATTTTTCTTTCTTTAGAAATAAAAAATTAGATCACCAGTCAACCTTTGACACCAGTCATGGTAGACCATTTTTTTTTAGATCAGCTGCCGAAAAAAATTTTTTTTTTTTTTTTTTACAAGGATGAAATTATAAAGATATAAAAATCTAACAATTTAAGTTTATTGTTATCATATGAAATTTTAAATGTTGTTGCTTGATAACTTTTTTAGCATATAAAAAGTTAGAATTTTGTTTGGAATTTGACTACTATACCTTATATAGAAGGGGACATTGAAATTGAAGTCAATATATATATATTAACAGACCTCAAAATTTAGAGTCTTTTATGGGGCTGGCAAGATGACAGACAATTTAAAAAATTTGGAGTCTGAATGCATCAATTAAACACCCTCAACAAGACATCTTGCTCCCTCTGACATTTTCTTGTTTCTAAACTTTATATGCAGATAAAACCATGGTTTATCGGTGCACCTCCCAAGATCTAGATTATCAGAGTCTGGTAGTTTGATCTTGCTCAATGGAGCAGGAACTGGCTTGTCAGTATTTGATACATTCAAAACCAAACTAGGGACATTTTATCATCACAGAGCAGACCCAAGAGATGTTTTTCAATCATTATGAATTGTTGTATTCTCCAGCACACTCCAAACCTCAAGGAGAACTCTTATATATGATCCAATGCTGAAGATGCTGGAAAAATGATCAGTTCCTTGTCAGTGCAATACATGATACACGCTTAGGCAATCAGGTCTGTTTCAATTCATAACCGACTAGGCAAAAGATTTTCCTGCAGTAGGTAGGCATTTCTTTCTGCTGTAGATTGATTGCCAACCAAGGCTATAGGACCTAGTCTGCTAGGCAATCCACAGCTGGGAGAGAAGAAATGGATTCATATCTCTCCCAAAGGTATTTGCACGTAAGTGAATGTAATGAACTCGGCTCTATAATTTCTCATTCAGAGCCAATATCTATTTACATCATTGCTCTATCTTTATAAGAGCCAGATTAGACCCAAAATGTAGTAATGCTGCTATATCATGGCTGGAGCTACATAATCCTTACCGTCCAACCCTGACAGAGTTCAAAAGCATTTGCATAGCCTTGTGGGTGATGATTTGCTTTCCACCCTAGGACCCTCTTTCCAATAGATGAAATATAGTCTTTTTTTATAGTACAAACTTGCTAGCCACATGTTAAACTGATTTTAAATTCAGTGTTGTCCTTCTCAAAGACTGGGTGCCAACCAAGGCAATTCTGTTTTATTATTTAACTCATAACTGATTTTGAAGACCCTAACAATGTTTAAATCTATTGTTAATGACATAAGTTTGGTAAGTTAGTGTCTGCGCTCTAAAATTTAGAGTCTTTTATGATACAAAATGCAGTCCAAAATTAAAAGGTTGCCTATAGTCTGTAAATTGTTAACTGCTCTAACTTTGACATATTCATCACCACTCAAGTAAATATGTGCTAAATTAGCCCAGCTAATGCTTAACAAGCACTTTTTATTTATAGAATTTATAATTACAAATAAGTAAACAAGGGAAGACTACTCCATATTTTCTCTTTATGTAATCACAGACTCATCAAAATGGATGTGTTTTTTCCCCCGGAATGAAAGCAAAAAATAGCAACCAGAGAATTATCCAATTCAAACAAATTTTTCAGTACTTATTCATTAATGAATAAATTGTTTTAGAAAACTTTGTGGAAATATTGCTTCACCCCCACAACACACACACCACTTTTCAATATCTTATGCATATTTTTTAAGTTGGATGGTGTTTGTGAAATTTGTTTACAGTTTATTTTTGTTTTTTTAATCAATTCACCCCAAGCAAGGTGATAATGCCACTAAGATGCAAGGGGTTTATTGGGAATGAAAGAGAATGAGAAAACTTCACAAGGAATTGGAAACCTAGTCCTAAACAGGGAACAAACCTCTACTCTTGTTCAAAAGACCGAGGAGCGGGATGAACTGGACGAAAAATGAAACGATCTACTCCTATTGAAGAAAAATACTTGAAGATGTTATATTTTTTTTGGTAAAAACTATGCAGTATCAAGTGTGAACATCTGGAATAGTCATCCTGAAACGTGACCGAAAATAATTCATTTTCTGCACATGTTCTGTTGCCCTTCTCAGAATGTATTTTTTTTTTTATATTTGCATTTGTTTGGGGTGGGGGGAAAGAGGCATCATCAGCCCACGACAGGATTATAAAATTACAAACTCATGTATGCAATACAACGAAATAATCATAGGCGAAAATGATAAAATGCTTTAGTATACATTTCAGAATAACAATTGTGTATTTTAAAGAACACACACACACACATATATATATGTATGTATATAAATAAAAAGAAAGAACAGTAAGATATATAATCTGGTGTTCTTATAGATATTTTTATTTTTACAAAATAGTGCTCGATGTAAATTTAAAGAGCATTAATATTATAAATTAATTGATTTAAAATGTTTTTTTTCGCTACACAGTTCTAACCATGTTTGAACTGTGTAGCTTAAAAAAACATTTTAAATCAATTAACTTATATATATATATATATATATATATATATATATATACACACACACGCACACACAGAAATAAAGAACTTTTGACTATCTGTTGGCGACAACATGCTTTATCAGATAACTAATGTCCTCAACTTTGTTGTTACTGCAACATTTCGGCTGATGTGCCATCTGGCCTTCATCAGAGAGTACATTGATCTGGGTAACTTACAGAGAATTCCCTTCATTTAATCTACAGGGTTAAACTGTCCTCATCCCATGTCTAGAGATATCTCATCTAGTTTTCATTTTTAGTACTGTTCAGTCATTGCTCACCTGTTTTCTACTGAGTTCAAGTACACACTGCCTGGCCCAGGGATTAAACTTACAAATACTATATCAATAAATTTCTTGAAACAACGTTTTAATTCACTTGTCAAACATCTGGTGTCATAGTTATTAAGAGTTCAATTCCTGGGTTGGAGAGTGTGTACTGGGAGATAGAGCAAGCAACAACTGAACAGTACTAAAAATAAGAACAAAACAAGATATCCCAAGACATGGGCAGTGAAACGAGAACATTTTGCCACCGTAGATTAAATAAAGTGGTTCAGTTCAGAATTAACTGTAGGTTACCTGGATCAATATACACCTGATGAAGGCCAGAGGGCACAATGGCCGAAACATTGTGATAACAACATCAAAGACGAGGACAATAGTCCAAATGTAAATAGCATAAATAAATAAGTCTCAGATTGTATTGATGCATTTTAAAAAAAGCTTGTGTTATACAGTTCTGCAATATGCATTTCATCAAAGACATCCCATCACTGAAAAAAAAGAAGACAAAAGATTTATCGGAAACAACATACCTGATTTGTAGCAAACTTGGTGCAATACAGTGGAGTCTATCACAGATTCCATCACCAATATAGTAGAGTGGAATGTCAGGAAGTTCTTCATAGGCCATCGACAACATTCCTAAGATACGGTCCTTTGTGTTTAGTTTAAAATCCTCTTTCTCCACAGATGCAATCACATTCTGTAAGAATTCCTTATCATGCAAAGCATCAGCCCAAATTGGACCCCCGACATTGTGACGTGACCCACAGTGATTACATGTTGAGCCTACAGGTGGGCCTACTGCTGGTGTATATTTGAAATTGCTTCCTTTTGTCACTGTTTTTTCTCCGAGTGGTTGCAGACTGAAGCTCCCACACCCAACACAATGGTAGACCATTGCTAATTTTGTGACTGACTGCTTTACCTTGCTTTGTCCCTTAAAGACACGCACAAAGACGCGCATGTAAAAATCCGCACTGATCGAGAGGAGGGGTTGAATGTAACGCGAGTATGAATTAGCATGCGTTTCAATAGCCTGGAGAATGATACGAAGCCCCATCTCATGACAAAAGTTGGCACGCAGAGACATACCCCGGTATTTGGAAAAACATGTTTCAGGTGCATTGCCACAGAGTATTGCTGTGTCAGTACAGGTAACACATAAGAGGCCGCCGTCTGACACAGCCTGTACCGCCCCATCAAGAAAACGGGCTGGGCTTCCATAAGGGTCAAGATCAATTACATCAAATCGATTTTCATATTCCCGATTTTCGTACATAACCATTGATGCATCGCCATAATTAGCCTTCACCAATGCCTCCAACTTGTTCTTCTGAATGTTTTTCTCAATGTAAGTGACAGCGTTTTTGTCAAAATCATTGGCGATTATCTCCCTTACGCCTGGCACTTCCAAACCAAACCGTACAGAACGAAGTCCTGACGCTGACAAACCTTCAAGGATACGAATTCCATTCTTGCACACCTTTCCTGCTTCCAGACTTAGCGTTTCCTCAGTAAAACCATTTTCTATTTGAAGCTGGTCATGTATGGGCAAAGAAGAATCTGTTTTGTCTTGCTGGTGTTCTGGACAAGCATCAACATCATCTTGTGCTGATTCTTTTTGGAGACGGAGATACACAGCAGCCACCTGCTTTAGATGTCGGGGATCTTGAGTAAACTGTCGGGAAAATTCTGATATCACAGCAATAGTCAAGTCTCGATTGAACTCTTGGACTGGATTGTAGAAAACAGACTTTGGTTGTAAAACATGGGCCTTTCCTTCTGACACAATATTTACTTCATTGGGAGATTCTTTACATGACTGAGATATGGTGCAATCCATTGTGACAAGCCTCGAGGATATTCTACACAATTTAGCAGAATGTAAAATGAGGTTGGTGATGCAATGATGTGAATGACTGGATACAATTTGATAAAATCTCCATATGATGATCATCCAACTGAAATAGAGTCAAAGAAAAAATATATATATATATTATCTGATTTTCTGGAATGAGGAGTGATCCATATTTAATTTTTTTTATCCGTGGACTATTGTCTTCACCTTTATTTTGATAATCACAAAGTTTCAGCCATTGTGCTCTCCAACTTTCAACAGAAGCTCGTCAATTGGGGTTATTGGAAGCATAGTAGAATAATGGTTAGCAGATTGAGGAGTCAGTGAGCTGAGTCTGAATTCCAGTCGAACTCATTACATTCACTTACAGACTAATACCCTTGGGAAAGGTATAAACCCCTCTCCTCCTCCCAGCTATGGGTAAAATAGCAGGGCAGACTGGGTTTTATAGCTTTAGATAGCAACCAGTCTAGAAGGACATATCTGAATTCAAATTGGATCATACTATCTTAAAAGTGTGTATAAACGCAGCTGGGGACCATTTGTGAATCCAAATTCCCACTGAAACTTCTACTATAAATTTGCACGTCTGAATGAATATGACTTCTGATATGCTTGGTCAGCGTTCATTCAGTTGCTGTGGGTTAGTTTGATGGAGCCTGTTCAACTGACTGGATGGATGCCACTTTAGAAAAAATTTAGATAACCTTCAGGGCATTTCAAACTAAGCCCCTCATTTAATTTACAAGGGTAAATTGTTCTTGTTCTGTTGCCCATGCCCAGTGATATCTCATTTAGTTCTTATTTAGCATTGCTCATTACTGCTTGTCCATGTTAATAATAAAAGAGAAATGGCAGCAAAGCTTTAGCAGTAGCAACAAAAAAAAAAGAAAGAGAGAGAGAGAAACCACAATGAGTACAGTCAAGCATGACAAATAGCAGCAGCACTCATCATCAGGCAGATTAGGTTTAAGGTTCTGAATTCTACACTCAGAATTTTCCCATAAGACAAGTGGATTAAAGCATTGGTTTATGAATTTAGGGACATAGTAATTGTGAGTTCAATCCCTGGGCCTGGTAGCCTGAACCTGAATTCAAGGGAAATGGGGTGAGCAGTAACTGTGCAGTACTAAATAAGAATTTAACGAGATATCCAAACAGAATGAGAACAATCTACTCTCCTGTAAATTAAATCAAAAGTTCAGTTTGAAATTACCAAGTTCAGTAAGTATGGAGGGCTCAATGGCTAAAACGTTTTGATAACAACAAAGATAAGGATAACAGTCTGCATGTAAATAACATAAATAAAAAATATATATTTCATAATATTACAAACTTTGGATTATAACATCCTCAACATTAGACTGGTTTAGTGGATGGGACAATAATCTGCAGCTATCAAAATGTACGTATAACCTGGGCTTTTGTAAAATCATTTAACCATTATGTTTTTCTATTTTTTAAAGAGTAATTTCATTGTTTTTGTTTGTTTCTCAGCCACCTACTTCTTTAGCTCTTTTTAGATGTTTGTCCTGATTTTGAATGTTGTCGATTCAAAACATTGTAAAAAACAAAAAAACAACAAAGATGAGGATCTTAGTCTAAAGAGAAGCATGTCTCATGATAGGAAACAATTTTTTCTCCATTTTCTGAAGGCCCATTACCTGCTATTTTGCTGACTACAACAAAACAAACAAAACAAATGTAAACAAAATAATGTAAATAATGCAAGTAATCATAATACTTCATATCAGGAGATAAAGACAGACAATAAAACAACTTTTGCAAGTAAAAAAGAAAAAAGAAAAAGTTTTACACAGAAAAAGAACCATGAGCTTGGTAACCGATACACAAAGTGTGTGTATATGCTTGAAGACATCAAATTTAATTTGGCAATAACGAGTTTGAATATTTATGCATCTTATCAATTTACACTTGAGCTAGCTAGCTGTAGCCGCAACTTCCGTGCTAACAATTTCTTATCTTGCACTTCTCGCTTGTGGAACTACCACCCGGCCCCATGCTTTCCAGCCAACTTTAATCTGCAAAAATATAAATGCAATATCAGTCGCTATCTGATTGCTCTTTTCTCTTTCTACTTATTACTAATGTTTTTATTCCTAATTCCTCCACATCCTGTAACACCTTGCATGATAGTGGCTGTACGGTCTTGCTCAGGGTAATACCGATTAAAAATAAACTTTTCTAATTTTGTTAGTAAATAAGAGTTTAGGATGTTAACATGTTTACCACTTTCAATGCTGCATTGTTATAACATTGTTGCCTGGCTGCACTGGCCCATTTTGGGAATAAAATAACAAACTGCCATTTCTGAAAATATATGATTATAAAGACATTGGCAATGATTATTCAAGGGCACCTACAATTTCACTTTGATCAGACACCCGGCAATACAAACTAAATGACACCTTCAATATGCAACATTTGAAAAACCATGTGACAAAATAGGTTGTATTGTATGCTATTTGTCTATACTGGTTTGGAAATACCACTAAATGCTATTTACTTTATAACAAATGTTAAAAGCTGACATTTCACAGTGTCTTGAAAACATGTATATATGTAGACAGCAGACGATGTAAATACTGATAAATATGTCTTGACAATATCTGAAACCTCCTGACGGGTGAACCAAACAATTACAAAAAGGATCCATCTACAAAACTTTGGATTTAGATTACTGAATATAACATCAATCGACTAAGTGACAAATTTTATATTTGTATTAATCCTCTATCTATCTAAATATATATTATAAAAATATAATTTTAAGGTATGCTATATTTATGGGTTAAAGTGCTCAATATCAGGGATGGAGCATATATAAATATAAAAGTGGACATTGAGATCAACACTCAGTGGCAACAGTTTGTTTTATGCCTAAACAATCTCATGGGTGCATACTACACACTATGGGGGGAAAAAATTGCACTGATGAAAAGTGTATATAAAAAAGAAAAATCAAGAAGTCAATTGCTGATATTCCCTGGATGAGTGGACTGAGTAATTCCTGGAGGGTCTGTCTACAAAACTCTGGAGTCAGGATGTTGAAAGGAACACCATTCAACTAAGTGACAAACCTTTTATTTGTATCAATTCTCTCTCTCTAATAGATATATATATATATATATATATATATACATACATACATACATACATACACACACTGCAATGCCAGGCAATGTAAGTTCTGTAAAGATGTACGTCTTGAAAATGTATGTATACATTAACAGCAAACAATGTCAGTTTTGTATAAGTACGTCTACAGCAGCAGAAGTATTAATTAGTTTAGCAGGGAATGATGGTCAGATAGCCACTCTAGCAGAGAGGATGTTGAAGTGATCTCAAAACATTCAATATAACATGCAAAGTAATAAGTTGTCGGAAGCAGTAAATCAGAAATGAAACATTGATTATATATCTGCTGAAAATGTTCAAGTTGTTTTGCATTCAAAAATAAAAGAAGGTGCTGAAACAGTGCTCAACCCAAACAAGAAGCAATTCTGAAAAATAAATGAAAATCTTAGAGCTGAGTTTGAATTCCTGTCAGGTTTGTTAAATTCACGTACATGCAAATAGCCTGAGGAAAGACATGAATCCATCACCTCCTGCCCCCAGTTAAGGATTAAACTGCAGGACTTGTATTCCAGAAAAAAATCAGTTATTCTATAAACAAAAAAAGAAATTTTTAATGCTATATTCCCTTGCAAAAATTTTTCCTGCAATACAAAAAACATTTTTGGGCTTAAATAATCTACAATAGGTTGATAAGCTGGCTCTAAAAAAAAAAATCATGTCCCCCAAAAAATATTAAATAAATTAAGCATTCCATGGTAAATGTTCTGATAAACTCTATTATACCTAAACTCTATGAATTTAAGCGTATTACTAGATTGGCAGCAAGATCTTATTTCACTGTTGAAATGGCTAAGACATAACTGTAAGTTCTCTGATAACACTTTCTTCTGACACTTTTCACTTCTAGAACTCTCTTCTTGCTTCTTGCTTTCCAGTTAAATTTGATCTTCAAATCTTTAAATGCAATGTCAATCATCATCTTCTACCTTCTTAATTCTTATTCTTTTATTGTCTTTTTTAATAATACTTTTTCTCATATTCTCTAACACTCAGTAACCACTTGCATCCTAGTGCCATTAATGCCTTTGAACTTCAAAACGCAATGTCAATCATTATCTTCTGTCCTCTTAAATTCTATTCTTTTGTTCTCACCCCTTAATAACATTTTTTTTTATTCTTTCACACAAAGTAACACCCACGCACCCCCACCAAACACACATTTTAGTGATTCTGTTGTCTTGCTTGGGGTGAAATGATTAAAAAAAATATATCAGATTTTGGGAAGCTAATCAGGTTGAGTACTTTTCAGCTAACCTTCGTATTTTTCACTATGTTAGGACGAGAAGACAAACTATATTACTTATTATGGTACCAATTAGTTTTTAAACTATATTTGATAGTATGTGTAGTCTTTTATTGGTGATTCAGATGCAAATATATAATTCATTAATGAAATCCTCATATATATCTTCTATCTAAATAAATGGCAAATTCTGTCTGTCCGTCCCTGTGTCTGAAACCTCTCTAACACAAGCCACACTTGCTCAACATAGATATACTTTTTTGGAATCACGCTGATCCCAGGATTGAAAATCTGTCCTTCATCTAGTGCTTGGATATTCAACACTGGGATATGTATCCAGATGTGGAGGGAAGAGTTAAAAATTCAAATTTTAAAATAACCGAAAAAATTATTGATTTTAAAAGTTTTAAAAGTGCGACTTTAAGCTAGCTTTTAAGCTAGTTACAAATAAGGTGTATTTAGGCAGTAAGATTTCTTTTAAACAAGTTTTGTTAAACAATACTTACATGGTCTGTCTGTCCAACTTTTTATTAAGTTGTTTGACTTTTATGTTAGAATGAAACTTACTAAACTTTCCAAAGTAAATTTTTCTTAATCCAATTACTTTTGCCGGACCCTACAGTTGTTATGAAGAATTGCAGATTTAGTATGTTTATGAAAAACTGTGTTTGGCTAATTTCATCTTTCATAAAGATGATGTC